GGGCGGGAAGAGGAACGCTGCTGCTGTTAATGCTGCATACTGCTGCTGCTGCTGCTGTTACTACTACAACTACGACTACGACGACTACTACTACTACTACTACTACTACTGCTACTACTACTACTACTACACCACCACCACCACCACCACTACTACTACTTCTTCTACTGCTGTTGCCACCAGAACCACCACCACCACCACCACCACCACGATCCCGACGGGGAGCGCGACCACTACCACAATCACTGCCACGACCACTATAACGACGACGACAGCCATACAGAATAGACTCTTGAACATGCATGATTCGCAAGTCTTGCCTGGCAACCCTCCCCAGAGCAGGTGCTAGTTAGGTTGAAACGCAAAAAACGGGCTCGCCCGAGTATATAAAGCCTCCTAACAATCGCCGCACTCCTATAGCTCTGACGCCAAAACTGGATGACCCTTTTTCTTCGTCGCGTGGACAGGTAACGCTGCATGCGCCGCTCGGCGCGCAGGTTCAAGTCCTACAGCCGGCGCTGGGCGCGCGTCTCAGCACCACCCGGCGCACCCAGCCCCACCACGCGCCGGCACGGCAAACTAGGAGGTAGAACAGGACACAACAACAGGTCGAGCGCCGCTTCGTCCACAGAGGTCGTCGACAGACTTGGCAAGGATGTGCATGATGGGGTCTGGACCCTAGTCCAGCCCTCGCGCCGGGCACGAGCGTCACGCTAGACCGCATCGGCCACATGGCCTAGGCTGCGCCGTTGAGATCAGCAACCTGATCCGTCGACAGCGCAGCCCCACCACAGGCGCATACCGCATTCGCCGAGTTTCGGCCAAAGCCGCCGCCACAGGCATCGGAGAGAAGGCCATCATCAGAGACAAGCACCGAATGAGGGGCTAGAGAGAAAAGCCTAGCCGTGGAAGATGAGTCGAGCCAGAGTGCTGAAGGCAGCTACGCCGTTCGCGATTGTTACTGCGCACAGAAGTGTGCTACACGACAAGCACGTGAATCTGGACAAGCTGATGTTTAAGTTCCAAACAACCTGACTCCATTCCCCGATGGCCCGACCTTGCTAAGATCCAAAGCTCGTGCCTCTGCGAATGGTCCCTTGCAGCCTGCTTCCAAACTGGCTCCCGGGGAGTTCCTGCTGCCAGAGAACAAACCAGTTTCGCCGGGCCCTCACAGTCTCACAGTTTTCTGCTATTTCCATTCCGCCGGTTGAAACCAATCCAGTCTTTCCGGGCCATGCGGGAGGCAAAAACATTTCAGGCGACTAAGACTGCTACAGAACGCTTGCACCGCGAGTGTTCATTCATCCTTTCCAACAATGAAGTAGCACCGTAGCACCGATTGAAGGACAACGACGACCGCATCAATTTCACACGATGACACGGCTGCAAATGCCACGATACGGCACAAGACGATTGAGGCGCTCGGGCAGTGAAACCGACGACAAAAGCCAGAAAAGCCACACTGAAGCTATGAATCTCCCCAGGGTGTGCCACCTTGACTTGGGAACGGCTCGCGAACGGGGATCGCTCTTTAAGCGGCCTCTGACCAATTTTGGTGCTTACTCTATCGTCGATCGTCACGTTGCCTCCTGTCACTTACCCGTCTTACTATGGTTTCTCTTCTTGCCACGACCGTGTTCGGTCTGGTATATCTCTGGATATCTCTTGGTTAAAGCCCTATCTCCTCCTCTCTCCGTCTCCGGGGTTTGGGACCGCGGCGTCGCCGGTGTCGAGCTCGGAGCGAGGCCTTCCATGGCGGGAGCCAGTGGGAGCTACCAAGGTGCACGATGGTAGTCATCAGCCGATAGATATCTGATGTATGTGGCAGTCTCACGCTTCTTGGGCTCATCTAGAAGAACCTGTGCGGCTCAGCACTATCCTACTCTGGGTGCACATGGGATGCCAGACACTGGCGAGCGCAATACACTCTCCCAAGCGATTCCGGCCTTGTGCCGTCGCTTCCGGCCGCCTATCACGAGTTTGACGCAAAACACATCGTTGGCTTACTGGGCGATGACTGGAAGTTGAGAAAGAAGGCGATCAGGAGTTGAGGAGTTGGGCTCCAGAGCTACTCCAGCCTTCTTCTGCTCGTCAACGGGTCCTGCAGCCAGGCGGCAAGAAAGGCATGGGTCGCGGCGGCTTTTGGATCCATGCACGGTGGCAATCGCATTCTGGTCATCCTCTGCTCGTCTCCACCCCACAGGTGCAGTGAATCTTGCGTCGTGCTGCCATTGGGCTGCTTGTGACGAACGGTGACAGCTGCAACAGTTTGCTTCGCTGGCAGAACGGAGGAGTGCGGCTGGGGCTCTCACTGACGACAGTGGGCGCTGGAGCTCTCGCCGTATCTCGGACTTTGCCTGGGCCACAAAGCTTGCTTTGCAAAACAGCGATGTCATGTCTTTACGGGAATGGGCTTGGTCTGCTTCTTCGTCTGGGGAAGTGGGCAGCCACAGCAGACCCTCAAGACATCCGCGGTGCACACTAGAACCCTAAACCCTAAATCCCAAAGCCCTTCATGTTCAGGGCCCGTCCCTGACCGCAAACCCTGACCCAAGTCCCTTGGGGCCTGTCGTTCGAGATGCTCCTGCGCGCGTTGGCCCTGGCTCCCGGTCCAGAAATCTTTCCGAACAGGCGACACCGATGGCCTGGCAGCATCTGTTCTGCCTTGATGAACTTAGTTGCACCCGACAGCAGCAGAAGGCTTCGGACAGTAAAACCAGGCGCAGGAAGTCCATTTCGCGTGAGCCAACCACTTCCCACAGGCGGAAGCTGTGATCACACATGCAAATGGCTACACACGAATGCCCCCCGTTGCCTTGAACTACCGTGTCTCCGGGCTGACTGGGCTTGCATGTATTCTGCTCCTGCGATCAGAGCATTTGCTTCGTCCAAGAAATGCAAACTGTTTGGGGCTACCGCGGCTTCCTCCAGCCAAGGCCAGCACGGCATCCGGCACCTGGATGATTTCGCGAGAACACGGTGACTCTGAGGCAAGATCCCATGCTGGCCTGGCCCGCTGGATGCAACTTCTCCTCCTTTTCCGGCTGTAGCCCTGCGCCCGCGTTCCAGGCTGGCACGTGGCCTTTCGTTTGCGGGCCTCGGAAGCCGTCTGAGCATGGCATGGATTCAACTACGGCGTGTGTCAGACTGCAATGCGGTAGTTGTGCTGCTTCTACGTGACATCCCAAGAAGGAAGGCTCCTAAACCTAGACCCCAAAACTCTGAACCCTGCCAATGCTAGTAAGGATCGCTTTGGCCTCGCTCTCACTTTCACGGAAGCCGTCTTTGGCGGCTTCGGCCGGAGCTTCGGCTCGGTTGGGTCCACACGTGGCCTCGGGGGGTGGCGCCGTTTTGGGATCCCTTCCCTGGCGCAGGGAAGGTCTAAACACACATATAAACACACACACACACACATACATCTGTACATACCTACATACATACTTACATACAGACAGACAGACAGACAGACAGACAGGACAGACAGGGTACATCCATTCATGCATCCCTTCGTCCATCCTCCTCTCTTTGTGCAGGTGAAGGGAGGGGTTTCCCTCTCCTTTCTGTCTCTACAAGGCCTCTCTCTCCCTCTCCCGGGCATAGGGGTCGGTTTCGACCCCCGGGCATCAAGCCCACTCGCATGTGTTATGCGGGAAAGGGGGGTGAGGAACGAGCATAATACATCCTAGGCTCAAGCCATATGATAACGAAACAGGGTGTATGTATGCTCTCAAAGACATGTTTTCTCGCACGAGATTCTTGCTCTACAAGGCCTCTTTCTTTCGCCAGGGTAACGGACCAGCAGGAAATCCCCCTAGCCCGCGCGCTGTCGCGCCCCCGTCCGTTTTGGAGGGGCTTTGAGATGCGCAACTACACCAACAAGGCATCCTGGGAAAGAAAGTCATAAGACTAATGCACCATAAAGGGCATGACTGAAGCATCAAGAAAAGCCTTTCTACAAGGCCTCTCTCTCTCTCTCTCTGTCCACGCCTGGGCCGGGCCAAACGGGAAGGATCTGGAGGTGGTGCTGGAGGCTGCTGGGGCACCTGTGCCCGTTGGCAGGCATGGATGAGCCTGCACAGGAGGGCAGCTGGGAGACCAGTATGTCACAAACCACTAGAGGCTGTCGGTAACTCTGTAACAACACAAGCCAGACAAGGACTGCCTCGCAAGTGTTTGCTCTTGCTGCGAATACGAGCAAGAATGACTCGCATCTCCAGTACTGATCGAGTATGTGCTCCAGATTGCAACCAAGCTTTGCTTTGCGGCTTTCCATGGGTACCTCCCAGCCTACTGAGGTGGCTCAGGCTTCTGATGCGGCAAGTGGACAGCCTCCGGCAAAGTTCCTTCCTACTGAAAAGGTTCTGATGCAAGGACATATAAAAGAGAGCTATAAACACCATAGAGGCCAGGCATGACAGAACAAGAGAAGCCATAACTGGACAAGGACGTAGTGATGGTCGTCGCTGTAGAAGAGCACAGCAGCGGCAGTAGCAGCAGCAGCAGCAGCAGCAGCAGCAGCAGTAGCACATGTAGAACTGCCGCGCCGCAGAAGAGTAGCTGCAGTGCGGAGTGGCAGTCGTTGTTGCCGCTGCAGCTGTCGCGGTGGTGGCAGCAACAGCTGTCGTGGTGGTGGCAGCAACAGCTGCAGCAAGCAGCAGTAGTAGTAGGAGTAGTAGAAGTGGCATTAGGGTGGGTTGCAGCTGTTTTGATTCTGCTGCTGCTTCGATTGCTGGTCTTGTTTTAGACGTCGCCATTCAAGAGCCCTGGCCCCTCTTCTTTTGCGGCCTCAGGGCCAAAGGATGCTTGGAGCCAAAGAGGACAATCGCCAGCACCAGGCCCTCTCCTTGTCTTGTAACTTGTAGGATTATAGGGCTTCTTGCAGGCTTTCACTGCATGCACGGGCGGACAGATCAATGAAGCATCTCTTGCCAGCTTTCCACGAACTACCTGGGGTTTAGATACTGAAGGAAAGCCTGCACTTCGTCCCGAATTGCTCAACCGTGTTTGTGTTCACGAGGTGGCGGTCTACAGTCGCTAAGATGCGAAAGAAAAGATGATTCAAGCACCCCATGGAACCCTGTCGAGCTGCGCAGAGGGGGCACCACCCAGATGTCGTACAAGCGCTTGGAGCTCAGCTGCGCCAAGGCGGTTGCAGCATGTACGAAGGTGAGCCTTGGCTTCCGAAAGCATTGGGAGGCGCACCCTACAACAGAATAAAGAAGGCAGCCTGCTCTCTATAGCATATTGTGACATAGCACAGCACATAACATAATCACAACATACACCCCTCTCATATCCATGTCGAAGCCGAGGGCTCCGCAGTAGACATTCCCGGAGGACCAGGCCCGCCCCGGGCACAGGCGCCTCACTGGCGATCTTCCCCCACTCGGGCCAAACCTGGTGGCAACAGCTCTCTCTCTCTCATCTAGCTAGCTGTCTGTTGCTATCTGAAGTTGTTGTGCGGTTTTGTGTTGCTTTTCTCCTGTTGGAACGGGGGAGTCTTGGATTTTTGTGTATAGGTTTTAGGGCTGGGGCGGCTAGGGTGCGAGGGCTTGTACGATTCCGGGTTGTAAATCCTGGGCCTGCAGCGCTTTGTAGAGCACCGATGGCACGAATTCAGGTCTGCCCCGCAACCGTCCCAAAGGCTATAAACACAGTTCAAAGGACAAAAGACTACAAAGCAATAATCATCATCTATATCCTAGTCATCATCATCATCATCACCACCATGACTGAGCAAATTTCTCACAGCCGTAGTTCGAACAAGAACAGCCGTGAGAACAATCCTTAAAATTAACAGCAAGTACGACAACAATGAGAAGACGAAGAGTAGTAACAAAGTAGTAATCCGACAATGTGTTCGAGCCTGGGTATACCAAAACTGGTCCACGGATGGCACAAATGTCCGTGATTTACACGTGTAGTTTGATGGACAAGCAGTTCGTTGAGAAAGACTGGTGGCTTCGCATGGATGGAATATCGGCTTACTTCTTTGATGGATTCAGCCCTCCCTCTCACCGGAGAAAACGGCTGAATGCTTGAAAAGCTGCAGCAACAGCATTCATACCAAGCCCCGGCTCAGATCTGCTTCATTGCTTTTGAGGCTACGCTATACTATACTATACTATACTTTACTTTACTTTACTATACGTTACTTTACAATACTACAGTATACTATAACTGTACTGTACTGCATTATGCTATACTATGTTCTAGTCCAGGTATCACGGCAAAGCAACCATAGCTTGGATGCCTTGCTTCCCCTCAGCACCAAGCAAGGATGTATGGGCCATGTGGGTTCTGACAGACCGAAACTAATGTAGGCCCTGTGGGCCCTAAAGCTCCAAAAATCGAAACAAACTCGACTTATTCTAAGATTAGAATGCAAAAAATACGATCAAAAACAAAACCCTAGAGTCCTAACAAAACTGCCCTAACCACATGTTTGTGTAACCCTGCGAAACCTTAACGAAACAACGCAAGGCCGACGCCTTCTTCAGCTTGGCTGCATGCTTCGCGATCCCTGGGGTCGCTATGCTCTTCAAAGCGGCCTGGAGATAGAGATGCAATAATATAGCATACGGTAGTACTATAGTATATAGTACAATACAGCATAATAGTATCATGTGACTCATATGATATATGACATAGTATTGTCTTGGGGAAGGGGAATGTCTCGCGTATTTGGGGTGCGTTTGGGACTGTTGCGGTCTGGGGCTTTATGGGTTTGCGGCTTGTAAAGCTGTGAAGCATTGTAGGGCTTAGTATAGCTCATGCACCGACCTCGCATTCACACTGAAACCGAAACCCAATATAAAACTGACGAAAACCCACTAGCGCTGTCTCAACAAACCCTCTAGTGGTCATACCGAAAGGTATCCCCAAACCCAAACCCTATCCCTAAACGCAAAGCCCGAAACCCTAAGCCGGCGGGGCCTCGAGGCCCACGTGTCCCTCGCCGTTTCGGTACGCGGAGACGATCTCCCGGCTCTGCTGCACCTTCGGCTTAGGGTTTAGGGTCCGGAGAGCTCAAGGCTTGGCTGTGGCTGCGCGATTGAGGCTTTTGGGCGTAAGTAAGGGAAAGCAGGTCCAGGTGAAGATTGTTCTAAATTCGGCTTCGCTCTAGTCTACGATCCTCCAGGCTACCCGCAGCAGTGCCTGGAGGGCCCGGTCCTCATAAACAACCATCGCATAACAGCGCGGCGTTGTGAAATTTGCTTCAGTGCACATGACACCTGCTGTTTTCAACTTAATGCTGGTGTCTTGGCTCTGCAAGCACGCTCCATTCAAGGTGTGCCTATCCTTGCCATAACGACGAAGGCGCCCAATCAAAAAGTTGGTTTGGCAGCTGCTGGCCGCTTGCTTGGCAAGCACCAGCACTGCAGTGTACCTCTAACTCTGATTCTTCTCTGTCTCCCATGAAGAGCAGTCTTCTTTTCGGGCACTTCCCGCAGTCCAGAGCCGCATCGGGAACCGAGCCACATTGTTGCTCCTGGACCTCACACCGACACTCAGCCTGAGAAGCCTCTGACAAGCCATCACAGGCGGACTGCCCTTTTGGCACGTTCTCTCGGAGGAGGCTCTCGAAACGCTCCTGAGCTGCAGCGTAGACCGCCTCATCCGCCTCGTCGCGGAACCCGTTCAGGCGATCCTCTCCATAATGGTGCGCGCCGTCATGCCGGTGGTTGTGGTGGAAGTTCATAAATTCTGCCGGATTGACGGAGCCTCCAAACATGCGGTGGAAGAGGCACACGGACTCGTTCCAGCGCCTTGTTCGGATCAACGCATTGAGACAAGATTTCATTTCTGACAGCCAAAGTCAAGCTGGGAACCTTTCATGAACACAAAAGTACAACGTCTCAAAGATGTATAGCTTAAGGTGCCGAGCATTGGGTGGGGGAGGGGAAGGAACACAGGAACTGATAAAAAAGACCAGAATGCTCCGTCAATCCCACGAAGGACAGCTCGCCAACGACCTTCTTGGCCTCGTCAACCAGCGCCCGACCGCCATCGAAGGGAGCTGTTCGGTCATTGCTGTCTTCGGCGCACTTCTTGCCAGTCAGCATGCGCGTCATGCAGCCCGCAATGCCCGGATATCGAGCGAAGCACTCCGTGGGTTCGTGTTCACATTTGCGGCGCAGCTCAGCATAGCCCGTGGGGGAAAGGCCACTAGCATGCAATCCATCAGCCTTGGCCGAGATAATGCGCTGGCTCGGCTGACGAAACATTGCTGCAACATGCAGCGTGCGGCCTTGTAGCTGTTCCATGGAGAAAGGCCGGTGTTGAGTGGTGAACTGCTTATGCAATACACCCTGCGTGCAGTACTCGTCCTTCGGATAACGCTCCATGAGCGCGAAGTCATAACAGTGTAGGCATTTGGGAGCATATGCGTCACTCACTGTCAAATCTAAAAGTTCCCTTCCCTGCCCACATGCATAATTCCACACCGTTGCCATAAAACTTGTGCCCGCTTTGGGAAAATGTAGCCAGTAGAGATTCCGAATAGGATAGGCGTGTGAAGAATTTTCAAAGGTCATTTTCTGAGAGCACCTTCCTGCCAGACTCGTCTCCTGTTTCCGAGTCTGAGTCAGTGCAGCCTGGGCTTGAACAGCATTCGCCTGTAGCATGCTCGTGTCTTCGCCAGGGCATGCACCATCATCAGTGGCACTGACGAGGGTCACCAAAAGGACCCACCAAAAATGCCTCTGCATGCTTGCAAAGGACAGCGCCACAGTAATAAGAATCGGTGCGGTAGTCGGAGCCAAACAGCTGCGGCAGGGACAACTGTTGTACGAGCTCAAAAGCGTGTCAGAACTTCTTCGCTCTCACGTCTAATACCGCGATGACCTCTTCCCCCAGCTCTGGCCACGGCCACAAGAGAACCTGAGACTTCCAACTAAAGAGAGGAGACGACAGGGAAAATTCCAAGCCTTGGCTACCAGGAGTGTCTTTACAACGGCCGCATCCACCTCGTACTGAAAAGCATCCTGTTGGCTGAACGGACGGTTTGGTTCACTCGAGGAGTCGGGGATGTGCAACCCTCCAATGTTTCACTCTGCCTGTCCGCCTTGGGTCCGATTGCACAGAGGTCCGTCAACACCAGCTCATTAGTGACGCTGCGCCCGCCACACTCAGACATCCTGAAACCCAAGTCCCTGTACTCTTCTGAACCCATCTCTCGAACGAACTCCTTCCGTCCTTGCTGGATGCTGCATGCTCCTTGCTAATGAGGCCATGCCGACCTGTTGCACTCAACCCTGCCGCTGGGAGCAACGCTGGGCACAGCTTGCAGAAAAAAAGTCCCCGAAGAGCAGGGCCAGAGATTCTAAAGGGCTCAAAAAAGCGAGGGAGGGCCCACGGATTTCGGCCCCTGACCTGGCCTAGCCCTCGCCGAGGTCCGCTGTATCGGACGGTCCTCCCAACCTGCCCAGGACCGCAGAAGAAGAGGCCTCTCTTCCTTCAGAGGAGTCATGAGAAGACGCTTCTGCGCAAAGTCTACGGAGCGAAGAGTTGTTCCTGTCATGCAACATCGATCTTCAGACGGAAGCCTCCCGAAAGGCAATCCGGAATCTCGGAATCTCTTCGGAAACATCTAGAAAATGCCTGGATCTGCGCGGTGAGGGCCTCCTTACTCTGGCTCGCGAGGCTGCTCACCGAGGCCTGAATGGCACGGTGGAGCTCCCAAGGAAAGAGCTCCCAAGCAAGGCATCGCGGCTCTCGGGGCCTCGGGAGTCTCAAGGCTCCCGCCGGGCTCGACGCGGAGCCTGGGCCGAAGATCCTCTTTGCACCGACGCTTGTCTCGACTCCAGTGGCCTCTGCTGCTCGCCAAGGTCAATACCCCGGCCTGGCCAGACACGAAGAGTTACATGCACCGCATGGCCGAGCGGAGGACCTCTGAAGAGCTGGCGCAAAAGATGCAAAAATCCAATGCGCCAGGCATACCGAGCGGGTCCATCTCGACCCAAAGGTTTTTGCGAACCCGGACATCCTGAGACCGTTCTTCACCCTTCCTGACATGCGAGTCTCCGGACACCGCTGAGGCTGCCGCGACCTCGCTGCACATGTCCTGTTCAGCTATAAACTTGAAGCCTGGTCCAGCCCCAGGGGATCACACCGGCCTCCGGGTTTGCAGCGGGACCCAGGACGGCCAGAACCGCTGCAGTGGCTGCAGTCGCTGAGGCATCCACCTTGGCAGCTGGGGAATGCTCCCGTAGCAATCAAACGGATCGATCCACAGCTGGCTCGAGTCGATCAAACACGCCTCTGCAAACAGTTAGACAGCAGAGCCTCATTACTGCTTTCGCATGGTCAGTACAATATGTCTGTGACTATGCCATGCACGCGACACTTTTCCACCCAGGCCGAAGCAAGGACCGTGGCTGATCTCATACCGAGCTCTTTCTACATGCATGCTTGCTGATTTGTGCTTTTAAACTCCTGCTAAGAGCTTGCTCGAGTACCCAAAAAACTCACAGGACACCCATGGCATCCTCAACGTTTTGATGCCCGGAGCCTCAGCGGCCTGCTGCGGACAGAGGCGGCCGGCTGCACTGCGCAGAGCGAGCACTGCCTGGCTCAGAGCCGAACCGAGGGTGAATTCAAAGCTCGGACATGTTTCTGCATCTTCTGCCTGCGAGAGATAGGAAAGCGCTGGCCCAGGCTCCCGCAACTGCAAATGGGCACTGCCTCCAGTGCAGGTGCGCGAACTGTGCAAGTCAGGCGGATGCTGGAGGCCCGCATAGGTTCAGCAGCACGGCAGGGTGCGCGAACTTGGCGTGCCCGGCGACGGCCTGTGAACCATACGAGTAGTTCGGGCCATTTTCTTGAGACCTTCAAGCATCCTTTGGTGGGCATTGAACTTCTGCGCAGATGCCACAATGGCAGCAGCGGATCTGAAGATGAGAAGGCAGAGACGGCGGGGAACCTACCTAGGCTTAGGAGTCGTGTGCACATGGTGCCTGTAATCGTGCCGTCAGATGCGCTTCCTGTGCATGCACACGCACAGGCCATATGTTTGTATATATATATATACTATACATGCACGCACATACATTGGTAGATGTATGTATATATATAAAAATCAATAAATATATATATATATATATATATATGTATGTGTATATATATATATGTATATAATTATTTGCTAATGTATTTCATGTATTTATTCATTTATTTATTTATGTCTTTACTTATTGATATGTATTTACTTAGTTGTTTGTATTTTTATGCATTTATGTAATTGATTTATATATTTATACATCTATATATTTATAGATTTGTTTATTTGTATCTATATATGTATATACATATATGTATTTACTTATTTATCTATATTTTTATACTAAGTATGTATCTGTATATATATATATACATAAACATAAACATAAATAGAAGTATAAATAGAAATATAATGTAGATAGATAGATAGATAGATAGATAGACAGATAGATAGATAGATATAGATTTCACCTTTGTTTTCGCGAGTTCTTTTGAGCCTGCTCCAGAAAGCGGACCGCGGCTCTGGGCTTGCCACGCTGCTGATAGTAGCCGCCCAGGCCTCTCGCACAACCAGACGGTAAGCCGACGGGGGTTTCGGGTGTAGTGTTGCCTAATCATGCTTTGCTGTTCGCAAGGCCTTGGCTTCGCAGAGCACTGCGGTCTGAATGCCAGTCTTAGGGCTTAGGGCGCAGGGGTTTTTAGAGTTGGTCAGCTCTCATGTGCAGGAGTCGAATCCAGGACTGGTCTGCGATTCCCGATGCTCTCAAAGCAGGGCTCCCGACACACTCTCTGGCCCTAAACATCCCTGAAACAGTTTACGCTCCAGTAGGAAGCCGGAATCTAGCAAAATTGGGTCGAGCTTAGACCCCGACCACTAAGGCTCAGCGCACGGAGGAAAAGCCGATTGGGCACTGCCTTCGCGCCGAAGGTTTCCTTGGTTGGCTCGGAGCCCCCCAGAAGCGAGCCTTTCTACAATCGGAGACCTTGGGACTGTGGCAAAAAGGGTTGCTGAAATTCTGCTAGTGTGCGGCCACATCGGTCCTTGTGAGGATCTCGGCGGTACACCTCGGGAAGCTGTCAATAAGAGTGAACATGCTCTTTCTATGCATCCTTTCTCGAAGTTCAATAAGTGCTGCGATCGTCGTCTCGTCGTCCCGCCGTCGACCGTGGCGGCGGCTGTCATGTGGATCCGACTTTGTGACCGAAGCGACAGCGGCAGTTGTCGTCGTCCTCCTCGACGTTACAGAGCAGTAGCAACAGCAGGAGCAGCACCAGAACTACTACTGCTACCAATACAGTAAGAGATTAATCTATAACACTGTCGCCGTCGCCGTGTTGCAGTGGCAGCAGCAGTAGAAGGACTGACCTCGCTAAGCTGAGATCCCCGGCAGCATCTGGAGAGCCTGGTCAAAGATCCACTCCTGCTCGCCCGCGGCGGTAAGGCAGTCCAGGGACCAGGAAATGGCCTGAAACCACAAGGAATGTCGCGGCCATTCTGAATCGAGGTCAACGCGGGCTGGGATGTGATGGGATGGATCAGTGGGTGGAGTTCTGAAGGGTGAGGGGCCTCATGATGTTTCTGAGACAGAGCTGAAACAAGCAAAGACAGACATGGCCACGGCAAGCTCGTCCCAAGCTTCTTGCAGAGGCAGCCAAAGTCTGCCACCGCCGGCGAATCTCTGTAGGAGGGACCAAGCCTCACCATCTGTGAAAGCCGTGCAACTCATGCCGTATATGAGACTCCACTTCTTAGGGTCGAGGGCAGGGCAGGAGGCAGGGGGCAGGGAAGGAGTTTTGGATCAAGGGTTTAGGGGTTTACGGGTTTTGGAGGGTTCAGGGGTCTAGGATTTAGGGCTCAGGGTTCAGGGCTTTAGGATTTAGGGTTCAGGGTTTCCGTCTTGAGCAAAAGAGTCTCGCTGGATTCAGTATCCGAGGTTTTCGTGTTGGGCAAAAAATTCTCGCTGGATTCCTTTTTAGAGTTTTCGTCTTGGGCAAAAGGTTGTTGCTGGATTCACGGCTTAGGGTTTTCGTCTTGGGTAAAAGCTTCCTGCTGGATTCACTTCCAGGGCTTTCGTCTTTGGATCAAGGGTTTAGGGCTTAGTTACGGGTTTAGGATTTAGGGTATGGGGTCTAGGGGTTTGCATCTAAGGTTGAGGTCTGGGGGTGTAGGATTTAGGCTCAGGGTTCAGGGCTTTAGGGCCGAGGGTTTAGAGTTGCGTGTTCGGCAAAAGGCTCCTGCGGGATTCACTCCTTAGGGCTTGCGCGTTGCACCAAAGATTCTCGCAGGATTCACTTTTTGAGGCTTTTCGGGTTGGGCAAAAGAGTCTCGCTGGATTCACTCCTTAGGGTTTTCGTCTTTACGGCTCACGGTTCAGGGCTTTAGGGTTTAGGGTTTAGGGTTGCGCATTGGGCAAAAAGGTCCCTGCTGGATTGACTCCTTAGGGTCTTCGTGTTGGGCAAAAGATTCATCCGATTGTCCGTGCATGGCTACGAGAAATCCCTTGCGGCGTCGGCAGGGCAGGGGCAGGGCAGCGGCACGGGCACGGCAAGGGCAGGGGAGGGGGGCACGTGGCAAGAAAATGGCAGGGCTTAGGGCTTCTTGTGTCTGCAGAAAGCCAGCTAGAAGCTCCAGCAGAATCGACCGTTCCTGACGGTTCGGGGGTTCGGGACAGGGGCAGGAGGGCAGAACGGAGCAGGCAGGGGCAGGCCAGGCCAGGCCGGGGCAGAGGCAGCCGTGCAGGGGCACGGCAGCCTGATTTTTTCGGTACGTTTGCGACGTGCGAGTGCACCTTGGACGCAAAACGCGAGTGCAACTTAGGATAGCCGCGCCCCAATCAAGCCGGGTGCCAAAGGAAACTTGGATACAGCATTGACCCGACCCTTTCAGGATCCCAAAAAAACTGGTGTGCGCATAAAAGTGCAAGCTTCGTGTGGTCAGCCCTGCGACAAGACGAATCAAGCACTGTGAGGCGCACTCTGCTGCTCTGCAAGGCACAGTGCAGCCTCCAACTCAGCCAGCGTGGCGACCTCGGCCAGATCCCCAAGCAGCTGGGTGGTAATGAAAAGAGGCCTTGGGGATTGGAGCTGATATGAGCTGGTCCTCTCCGCTGGGCTTCGCACAGGTTGGCCCTGCTGCAGCATGATCTTAGCTGGTGCGACAGATGCACAACTCAGCGGCGAAGTGCATCTGAATCCGCACTGGCTTTGCTTGCAGCTGGCTTGCTTCTTCGGCCATAGAACTTTGGCTTTTTCATGCCCGTCATTGCCCCTCAGAGCACGCAGGTCTATGACAATGAAGCCTCTGCACTTTTCCACGTCAGTGGGTAGCAGAGACGCTAAGAAGCTAAAGTACGGGAGCACCTTAGATGCCCTCGATGTCCAAAGCCCAAAATCACCTTTGCTCTTGAGCTTCGCTACTGTATAGGGACTAGACTCAGGGTCGTGCAGCCAGCAAAGCCACGAACGCATGCTCAATGAAATGATTCTCGGAACCCTCCTTAAAAGGAAAAAAGACGAGGGCCCGGCTGTTTAACACGACGCCTGCTAGGGTTGCCAAAAGGACTAAGCTAGGAGAATGAATGCAAAACTAGTTGCGTGGAACGCAAGGTTGGAAAATATGTCGCAGCCCTGAACTGCAATCAGGTCGAAGCCAGAGGTCTCCGAACCCGAGCAGAACGCATGTGCCCAGGGCTGCCCCAGAAGTGGCTCATCCTGGAACTCGCTTCGAGAAAGCCACCTTCCAGCAGCCCCATGCTTTCTGGGAAAATCAGAGCTCGGGTCATCTGTGCGATGAGCTCCTGACAAGTGCCGGACGGAAGTATTCTCTCGCCGTATTGTCTTCACACATGTATCTGGAGTCATGATCACGTCTTGACCAGGCGTTGAGGTCAATACCACAACACAGAGTTCACGACTGAAAAGGCAGCCCTGTGCACAGTTGCGGTGAAGGACTCTTGTTACGTGTTGGTACATGCTCATCGTGAAAGGCTAAAAGTTGAGGGTGCGTGATACCCCCGCTCCATTTGCTTGACCCTTAACATGGTTATCGTTTTATCTTACTCTTATCGTTCTACAGGACTTTGGGACTGCATGATTTACGAACATTCGTTATCGTTATTTTTTGCTCTTATCGCTTTAAGCGGAATTCGATTGCTCTCAAAGTACGGGCACATCTACTATTAGAAATGCTCTCGGGGGTGCTTATCATCCCTCAGTTTGCAAGGCACACTCCTTGTCATCCGACTTCATGCAAGCTTCCATCCAAGCTTCTCCATGGCTTGCCAAGAAGCCTCGACGGGCCTGTGATGGCATGTCAAGCTCCCCCGAAGAGTATGCTCAAGCAAACACCAGCGTCCTGCCTTCACCATAGAGCGCAGCAGGCTTCAAACTGGCCAGGGCGGCCAAAAGTATGGAGCCACACTACACCCTAAAGCTTAAAGCTTTGAAAGCTAAACCTAACACCCTGAAGTCTGGACCCACAAAAGTCAAAGAGATCGGAACCTCCCTGGTGCCGTCTGACATCTTTGAGGGCCGTTGGACGGGCCGTGCAGCGGCCGCCTCTGTCACTCGCCGGGCTTTGGGGATTGGGAGCGTTTTTGCGGGTTTTGGGCTTCTGGTCGCACGGAGGTTTTCGTCATGTGGCCATATACAGCGAAGCTGTTTTCGTGTAGAGCCTAACAAGCACAACCAAGGTAGATCGACTTGGTGTGTTTACCTCTTTCCCAACCCTGGTCTCGGAGGGTCCACTTACGTTTTCTGGCTTCGGATGGCGTGAACGGCTGTCGCATTGACTTCTGGGCCTAGGCACCAGGCAGGGGTGAGGTACGGCCTAAGCAGGCGTGGTACAGTTTTGGGTGTTGGCTGAGGTTTTGAGGTCCGGGTGACGCGACCATCGACACCGGTCCGCCTCGGCCACTGGTGCACGCCCTGATTGAAGGCCGCATCAGATTTGCAGGAATGCCAGTTCTTCTCGCCGACTGGGAAGTAACTGCGAGGAGCGCACCCATAAAGCTTGCAATGTGAAGCCCATGCCAGAGATCGTAGCGCTGACGCTGCTGCCACATGCTTTCCAACTATTGCTCTTCTATCGAGACACAGGCCGTGAACTACAGCTGACCCTGTTTGCAAGCAGTTTTCGCAACTTGCGCACCTTCTTCCACCAAGACGCTTTTCTGCACTCCTGCTGTCAGCTCATCAGAACATCCTCCTAGCTTGAAGCCTGCACCTTTCTTGTAGACCCTTGTTCTCTTTGACGCTCCTGCTGTGCGGGTAGGAGGTGAAGTTGTCTCTCATCACTGTCTTGCCCAGCTGCTTCCACCCTGCCATCAGGCATGTGTTTGAGGACCCCAGTCAGTCTACCTGCAGCGGCGATTGACACTTGACGCGACGGTATCCTGGCCTTGTTTGAAAATCGCCTTCGTGTTTTCTTGTCCTCCCCATTAACATGAAACAGGCAAGCAGGTCATGCATGGTAGTTCTCAGAATAGATTCGGGAATTGCAATTTGTGGTCAGGTCTCAACACCAACGGACGACGACGGATGGCGCAGTGACTGGAAAAGCAACAGGGCTCGAAGTATGCAAGACATTGCAGCTCTTGGGCACGTGCTGGAAGGATGGGGATCCAAGTACAGCAACTTGCTGCGAAGGAGGATTTCCTCTGCAAGCCAGAGAAATAGCATACTCCGGGAGCATGTTTGTTCTGTTCAAGGGCAGCCAAAGCCACAGAAGGCATGAAGCGGAATGACAAACATCGTCACGAGCAATATTGCATCTATGTCCTGATGATTCTTGTTGTGCATCGGAAAATCATTCAGAGCGGCCACAGCCTCGTCCGAGAGACCTCCTCGTCCGCTTGGCACACCTGCACACAGGCTCTTGACAGCACAAACAATCAAGGCCGAACATACTTCTGTCTTGATGCTACACTGAAAGAAAGCCCGCCTTTGGTGTCAAACGGCAGCAACATCGGCGGAGCCTCCCGATTTGGAAGGTGACAACTGTGGCTGCCGAACGCACGCACGAAGCGTTGAGGACGATGCCCGCTGTTAATTCTGCTCTTTACCTCTTTCCGGTGTATTTGGGACCTTCGACTGGCGACCCACTCAAAGCGAATCAAGATTGAAACTCTTACTTGTAGAATCTTAAGACTCAAGTTCGCACGCTGGACCTCGCATACAGCAAAAAGCACTGGCTTCAATACCCACTGATGAAACCTGTGACTAGGACTGCAATTACGGGCTATATACTTATGGAGAAGAGCTGCATTGGCCATTCATTCACCTTCCTTTCGCCGCATTCAACTTGTGCATAAGCTCTATACCGTAAAATCGCACCAATATGTTCGCACAACGGTTGCAGCCCGGAGGCATCGAAACTGCACAATTTTTCCTGCAAGACTAGACGGGGATGTGAGAGTGTAGGTCTTGCCACGACCGCCCACTGCTTCAAAAGCCGACCCACAAACACGAGCAGAGCTTTCTCGGGGAGGCTTGCTTATACTTGAGTGTCCGTTCAAAGACCGAAGGAATGAAAAAACCAGTGCAGTGTTCGACAATGCATTATGCCTTATCAATGCGTGAACCGGGATGTTCTGCACTACCAGGGAGCATTTCGCAAGAAACCACCATATGTGGATATGCGATGAAGATTTCAGCCCGAAGGTGTGTCTTTGGAAAAAAATTTTCGAGGCACATCTAATTTCCACTGTTTGGCTTCAGCAGCCAAAACCATAGATTCTGCAGCACAGCCCACACATCATGAACGTGCGTGCACAGACTCTGTAATTTTCTAGGGATGGCCTGAAACTCACGTGCTCGGGTCTGTGCGACCAGGATCAGGAGCAGGATGTGCAACATTGGCCCATCCAGAAGTCCCTTTAAGTCATTGAGTAGAGCGGTCCCATAACGCAAGGAAGACGAGGGCGTGCAGAGCTGCAGTGGAATCTCCGGGCTCAGAAACGGCTCTTACACGCCCAAAAACGCGCTTACACGCCCAAAAACGCACAGAGGGTCTTTTTTCCCGCCAGGCCGGCCTGAAGCCGCACCGCTCTGTAACGGGATAAACTTCCATGATGTCCTGAATCCGATACTTGAAATGTCGTTTTGGGTTCGAACTGGGTTCGATAGTCTCCGAGACTCCATGCACAAGCAAGTGTCATTTGTGTAAAACGCGGCTTCGCCACTTGCTCAGCCTTTGCAGCACTTTGGTTGGGTTGCTGGCTGCGGGGGCTGAGCCGTGGTCGCGGCACGTTCTGAAACATCTCTCCTTCCTGGGACCTTGCATGACCTTGCCATTCGGAACTCCAGGCTTTCCTTATCTTTCCTTCAAGCTGCACGCAGAACGGGCGCCGAGGTCCACGCCATGATCAGTTGTAGACGGAAAATGCTGTAAGGTCGGCTGTGGTGTGCCCTGGTATGGGCTGGGCAGACCAATTACATTGGCAGCAAGGATGTGAGAACGCTTTGTCGGAAGCTAGCTCGGTAGTGCTCCGACAACTCCCCCCGAGGTGTGACGCGTACACGGAGTACATGGCTGTTGCTGTAGACTCCCCTGTCAAAACCCTGGAAGAGAATGCCAAGGCTGCACGTGAGAGCGCAGAGGCAATGGACTTGGCTTCGAAAGCCAACAGGAGGATACCAGCAACAGAAGCCGCATTCTTGATGCACTTGGTCCAGGCCGGTGCCATGGACAATGGACTTCGAAGGTACCCACACTCACAATGGGGCAGGAGAAGAACATCAAACGTGCCAAAGTCGAGGTCATGACGAAGCTTGCCAAGCGGGAGACGGGTAAAGTCCTGCCCTTTCTGACCCTATGAACCCGTCAAAACCCCGACCTTTTCCTAGCTCGGCCTCCCGAGCACTTTGGCTTCGGGGCGCATCTGCACATACTGTCTGGGTTTTCAGAGAGTACCGGTGGGCAAGTAGGAACGTAGTTCGGATTTGGTCATGGCAGGCCCCAGGGGCTGCGGGATCTATATGCGTTATTGTCATTACGGTGAATACTATGGTTCTTATTTTGTAGGTCCTACAAAACAAGGTCAAACCGCAAACCCGAAAATCAACCGAAGAAAGTGACACAAAAATGGACATCCACGTGATCGGGAGTATCGTATAGATAAAACAATCTGTCTAATAACAAAACACAACATCGCGGCCGGGGCTGCATCGCTAGTTTGGCTCAGATTGGAACGACTGACTGCAGCGGCTAATCTGGGAGAATTTCAGGGTTACGTCACATGAAGTCGCTGTAGTTTGTACAGTTCTACCCCAAACCCGAATCCCAAACATTTGCTTTGGACTCAGGTGTAGGGTTGAGGAGCGAATTTTCTGGCATCTGTTGCGGCCTCGGGGGCAAGGACGAATTCCTAAGACTTTTTTTGGCCCTAGGTGTGAGACAGAACTTACCAACGCTTTTGGACCCGGTACGGCACGGAAATTACTGACATACTTATTTGGGCGTTCCTCAAAACAGAGCTTGTTGCTGATGTCACTATGCACAGCCATGCTTTCATCTTCATGCTGTAACTGTGAGAGACCTGCCTTGATGATGGAGCTCGTCTCCAAAGATCCCAAAGGGACTTCAGATCGATTCCTGGAGCTGTTGGCTAAGGCTTTGCAACCGGCCCAGCGATAGCCGGTCCTCTTGTTCCGCTTGGGCGGTGGTGGGGTTGCGACAAGTGACCCCCGATCATCGCAGAAGGAGTTGTAGGTACTCTGCCTCGTCGGCAAAACGCTCCACTCTCAACGCTTTTCGTACAAGACTCGTCATGCGGAGATCCGTGTTCGCCCTCTGTCGTTCTGTTGCCTTCGCGACCTCTCCTCGGGTCTCCCCGGTCCAGCCCCCGCTAAGCCCGGTGCAGGGGAACTTTTCGGCCAAGAAAGGGCGTCCGTGGGCTGGTGAAGTCCATCTTGTCATCGTCAGCCTGTCCATGATCGAGGCTTCATGTGGTGAGATCACCGGGGTTTCCCTTGGTGTTGTTCTGCTGGCTCTTATTGGTATTGTCTCTACCATTCTGGCTATCATGTCGTCTTGTTGTCTTGCTTATCTTCGTCTCGGAGCTTCCGAGTCACTTAGTCGTTAGAGACCATCAGAGTTCCACTGTGTCTTGGACCTTATCAACATTGCCACTGTCAGGGTGCACCTGCTTGCCTCTTCCTTTCCTGCTAGCTTGCTGGTGATCTCAGGAGCTCAAGCATATAGCAGAATACGATGTGTGCACATATATATATATATATACATATGTATATTGTAGATATAGATAAATATTATACATATATATATATAATCAGAGAGAGAGAGAGAGA